AGTGTGATCGTATAGTGAGCCATAGCTGACTCATGGAATATGATTTTATGCATGATTTACTTTGTGAAATCTAAAATCTTTTGTTTCATTATCTGATGTGAAATAATAATTGCAGATACAAAATAAAATGTGTTGTAATTAAATTCTTTATTAGCAGTATAGATAAATAAGCTGTTTGAGTGAGTCAGTTCAAAAGAGATCAAAAGAAATTTCTTTGAATCAGATTTGGAGATAACGTTTCTCAACAATACATATTTCACTATTTTTAGTTCTTGTCAGCTGACAACAAATACACCATGCTCACAGGAACATATGTGTAAGGTACTAGACATGAGCCAAATGTTTAAGCCTAAACCTGAAAACATAGATTATTATAACAGACTTGAACTAGTCATTGTTGGCAATGATCTCTTGTAATATAAATCAATTGTCATTCGTTCATGTTAAGTTGAGTACAAAATAACAGCTGTGACTAAAATAACTAAATGCTCGATTGAAAGCTGGAGACCATGCTGAATGTGCATGTCAAATATTTGGACTGTGAAAGGAAGCTGGAGAATACACACGTAGACACGGGGATGTAAACCTGCACAGAAAGCCAAGCTGAGATTCAAACCAGGAACATTCTGGCTGTGAGGTGACGGTCCTAACCACTGCATCACAGTGTCAAGATTGTCAACGATACAATAAATGGTCATCAGTAGGTTTTGCTGTGACCACATGTTAATCTTTTTTAAATGTAGAGACAGCGGAACTGATGCTCTGCTGAAAATGGCTAAACTTGAAAAAAGAATTTACAAAAACATAGGTTCCGGAGATAAATAGGAAACAGATAGGAAAGTTAAACCAAAGTGTTATTGATCCAAGACCAAGACTCACACTCCTCTGTGCCCTGTCTTTCCTTGGTTTTCATTTTTGTGTTGTTACTCACTACATGTTGGTTTGGCACATTTTGCTTTCCCCTATACTGCCCTCTACTGTAAAAAACATGAATTGGATTTTGCCAATTCTGATCACAAGACAGTTATTGTTCCTCTCACAATGATTTACTGCCAAATTCAGTCTCTGTTCCTGAAGCTTTTATCAGTGCATAACCTCAGAATACTCCTTTGATTGATCCTGACACAGTTTTCATAACTTCTACTTTAGCTGAATATTCACTTTGAATCCAAAGAGCTTTGTGTCTGTTTTCAGCACTGACCCACTTTAGTTTAAACTCTCCGTCAACCCCGGACCACTGTAAAAGTAATGAAAAAATAATCATCCCAATATCTTCCTCGACTTATCCGAGGTTTGTTGTGGGAGCAGCGTGTTCCCGACCACATTCTTTGACATGTTGTTTTTATTTAGCAATCCTGATGAACTGTGTTGACATCAGTGATGTGGCTCTGCTTTGGTTCATCTCATCTGTCGAACAGGTTTTTTGTTTGTTGTGCTTGGAGATTCCCCCTCCTATTATGTGCCACTCTTTTATAGTGTTCCCTAAGGGTCTCTTCAGGGTCGTATTTTATTTATCATATTCATGCTAACTCTGAGGCAAATCATGCACATACATATTGCCGTTGATTCTGTTTGTCTTAGTGAGCGCTCGTACCACCCATGTGTCTTTTATTTTGAACTGCCCTGATTAAGTCAAACTCTGTTTGTCCAGTTATTTCCTGCAGTTGAATGGCTCCAAATCAGAGATGATTAGAATAATAATTTCTTGGCCCTGCACTACAGCAGCCTTTACAGTTTCACATCTGGTCTTAACTAGAAAAGTGGGGGCTATTTTCAACTCAGAGTTTTCCTTTCACAGTCAGGGGACTAAGGTTTTACAATCCTGCTTTGTGTAACTGAAACAGCTTATTCCTTTCAACTGTACAAGTAGAAAATGCCATCCAGGCTTTTATCTCCGTCACAATACCCACATCATCTGCAGAGCACAGTCGATACAAAACAAAGCACAATAGTTTTCATGTTGAATGCAGTTCTGCTTGACTGGCAGGTTTAGGATTTTGGATTCAGATAAAAAGAAACAAGTTCAGTTTATTTATAAAGCACAATTAAAAACAACTGCAGTGGACCAAAGTGCTGTCTAATAAAAGAGGACACAATACAAAATGCAAATAAAATGTGATGTGAATAAAAGCAACTTCCGGACACTCATCCTGTGAGAACATCCGGGTCTTTACTTTAGTCTTATATGTGTTGATTACCTGATTGTGAAAATAAATAGTTCCGCAGCTTTGGGTGCGGCTACAGTGAACGCACCCTCACTTACACTTTAGACTAGACCAAGGAACAAGCAAGGAGACTCACACGTGACAGTACATGCAGATAAATTGTCAAATTGTATTTTCAAAGAAAATAATCTTTATTTTGTCATGGCAGTTTATGTTTAGTACATTCTATTTACAAATCTTTTAAAATTTACAGTATCTGTTATTGCATAAAAACAAGAGTAAGTTGTAATATACAGGTAAACGTCAGAATAATGACGGAGCAAAACATAGTTTAGAAAATGTAAGTATATTTCAAATAGATCACCACTGCCTCCAAAGTTGTTTAATTACCAGTACAATGTCTCAGGTTAATGTATGTTGTGATTTGGTAAAATGAATTGAGCCAATATAATTCTTCACTTTTCAAGATGATCTTCTCCTGATATCATAGATGTAGATTTTTACAGTGTGAGGTTGTAATATTAAGAATATTACTCTTGTGTTGTTCAAATGAAGAGTCGACTCATGACTAAAGGCACCAGGAGAAGAGGGACAAAGACTCCTGTGTGTTTGGCTCCATTACACAGATCTGTCGAGCAGCATCTGACACCCACGGAATAAACATTAGCGCACATGTCGCTCCTCATGCAGTGTTTGGTGATCAGGTTTTGAGCAACTGCAACAAACAAAGGCAAGACAGAAGAAATGTAAAAGTTAGGTGACCATGAGTGGAGTGACAGAATTATATAGTTCAGACAAAGAAAATTTGACTTTTTAAAGATCCTGTCAGGAATAAGATTGAACCATGCAGAATACAAGATGTTAAAGCCAAAAGTGTTGATGAATTACCTATTGTGCTGGCACAGCGGTCATAATGATGAGGACATGGCCATATACGATTGCAGTTGCCAGGGTTATCTTCCCAGCAGGTGTAACACTGTAACCCGGTCACTACAAGCAAAGCAGAATTCAAATATATAAACTCCTTGGTTTAGTTTTTATACTGATTGTTTATCTTTAAATTCTTACCTGCTGACAGCAACACAGAGATTAACGCCAAAGACACACACAGCTTCATTTTGAGCCACACTTGTCCGACCTCTGTTGTCAAATGAACTTTATCCACTTCCTTTTAGATTTTATAGTCTCAATAAAAAAAAATAACTTACCACCTTGGCCTATTACAAACGACTAATTATGATTGGGCAGTTCTTCTTTGGGGAGTGTCCACCTGCTCCAGGCCCTCCTTTAAAGTTGATACTTAGATTTATGTTCTGCACATTCATCACAGATCCATTTTCCAAAGAAATTCCACTTTGGAGTAAGAGGCTACTTAACTTGAGAAGTTCCATTTGTCATTTGTCCAGTATTTGCTCAAGACATTCACCCAAAACACTACAGCCTGTGAGGTGAAGCTGAGAGTGAAGCTGCCACACCTGGAGATGTCAATGTGTAACCAATCAATGTTTACACACCCAAAACACATCTGCATGATCACCTGTAGTGCACATATTCTGCAGGTAAAAACCTCGACCACTGGCTCTGTGTTTTCACCATCAAATAAATCTTAGCCTCATTCCGATGATTGCAGCATGAATTCTTCACGAGCTCACGGTCGTTTATACACACAGTTTCTGAGCTCTTCAGTTCAGATCTCTAATTGCATTAATAGGTCTACGTCATTAATCTGCTGCCGGTGAAAAGGTAAAGCGACACTCGGAGCAGCAGGATTTAAAGGGACCATTCACCTGAATAATTAAAATGCTAATTTCTCGTGGCAGGGTGTCTTTATTTGTGAAGTGTAATCCCTGTTCTCATCTGAGTACGTAAATAAGATGAAACTGACTATGTTGTGTTAACCGGCCACCTCCACCCGGTCTGTCTGCTGTCTGGTGTCGGTAATGAGATTGGCCTTTTGCCCCTGGATTAAACTCCTTGAAAAGGAGGCAGGTCTGAGAGCCAGGTTAATCACCAGCTGCATCATTTGAGCACTTTCTAATTTTAAAAAAATCCAAAATGTTGTTTCCTTAGTTTTTATAGTTAATAGAAAGTGAAAAACTGATCGTTGAAATGATCTCAGCCTGGTGTAGTAACTGTGGATATTGTACTCCTTGTAAGTCATAGTTCAAGACACGTGGGAGATCAGGACTTAATGACAGAGGTTCAAAGGTCATGACTTTATTGTCCCATATAGCTCCATCTTATTAAGTCTGGCAGTCGGCCATGGCCTCAGCTCTAAGGTACTTGTAAAGAAATGAAAGGCGTGTGTGCACATTTGGGTTATGTTTTCTTTTCTTGTTGACCTAGATACAGATGCTTTATAATCTTGTTTTCATTTGTTTAATGGTTTTACAGTTTAATAATAGGTCAGACTGGTTATATATAATCTAATCTATCATTTTAAGCATTCACTTTGCTCATGCAAAACAAGAATTAAAAAAACACAAGTGAAAAAGATAAGGAAAGAAATGTGTAAAAGTTTCTATTCATTCTATTCAAGTTGTATAAACTATAAATACTGTACTAGAATATAAGTATATAACAAGACCTTAAAAATAGTACTTAAGTACTTTGCTTTGTTCTTTCTTCTTTTTCATGGTTTAGGATTCAGGTGATTTTTTGTTCCACCACAGAATTGTAAAACACCTGCCAGTAATACGACTCAGTTCATCAAGAGTTTATTGTGCGTTTACAATATACAAGTAATGTATTTATTGCGCATGTTAGTCAGTACAGTGCTACACATGCCATAAATATTTTGTAAGACCAACATTAACAACAAGTGGTTGGAGCACTTGCTCGATTCCCAGCAGAGGTGACGTTCACTTCCTGAACTGAGCGACGGGGGAGGGGATCTTGATGTCCTGCCCCCTCTCCAACCTCTTCTCACATTCAATCAGGTAGTTTACACCGTCAATCACCAACTGTGTCAGCTCCACCTGCGAATACAGGTTTGTTAAAAATTGTTACACAGCTTCAGGACATATTTACATTATTATCGACGTAAATGATCTACTGTGGTCCTGATGACGACCAAACACAATGTGTCAACGTGCAGGATTTTATTTAAATCTATGAGAACTTGATCCTCAGAAGATCCGATTTCCCGATTTGTGAAGCTGTTCCGACTTTGGCGTGTTCATGTGTTTTAAAATCAAAATGTGGATAAAAACATTGAGGCTTTAAAAACAACATGTTTTATTAATGTATTTTGAAAGTTTAAACAATATATCGACAATATATAAAAACATCTGTATTAGCTGAATATTATATTCTGTCAGGTGCTTGTGAGAGATGGACACATCAGAAGCTGCTATCAAGCTAATTGTAAATTATGTCATAATTGGTGATAAAGGATGACTTCAGAAACTTTGTGACCTGCTTCCAACATTTTTCCTAACTTTCTGAGTTGCTGTTCCGACTTGAGGTGGTGTTTAACATGAACTCACATTTTTACATGAACGTATAATTCTTACACCCTATCACAGATTTTGTCACACACATGCTGGATGGAAAATTTTGTCAGCTTGTAATGAGCATCGAAAGTTAATTCCCAGTGTGCAGTCAGTCGGGAAACAAGGAAAGAAAGGAACATAATTAAATTTCACTCACATTGCATTTTGTTTCTTTGACCTTTAAAGTTAAGTTCAATACTAGTAAAGTAAGATTAAATTTACTTTTTGAACTCTTAAAAGTTGAGAATCAGTGAAATGTGTTTGCGTATAAATTCTCTGAATACATGACGCCCATGTGATCAGCCAGGTCCCACCCTCCACCAGCTGCCATCTGATTGGCTTCTATTTACTCATAAATGCCTGGAGAGCTCATCCTATAATGGCGGCAGTGTCAAGTTCAACACAGAAACACTTTGGGTCTCTGAGTTAAGTCTTCTAGGCTCCCGGTGCCTCTAGTCTGACTGGAAGACACCTCCATCTTAAGTCCTGACCTTAACAAGCTATCATTATTATATTTGATAGATAGTGGATGTTGGTAGCTCCACAGTCTGTGTAGAAGTGATGCATGAAAGGCTCAGATCAGGAGTCAGGAGACTTTTAACCTCAAGTGGCACATATCTGCCTGGATTACAGATTAGAGAGCAGCAGGGGAGAAGGTTATTCCCAGCCCACACCTGCAGCCCTCCTCCTCAGGTGTTTACCTCTGACTTGCCCAGACGGTCGAGGTTAGAGATGTCAAAGGTGTCCCCGGTCGCAGCTGAGTCGACGCCTCCGGTGCCTCTCTTCTGTAGCCTCAGGTTGTCCAGGATCTTTTTGAACCGAGGGTCCTGGATCGTAAACATCACACACCTTCAATCAATTTCATAAATCAGAACTACAACATGGGAGTTAAACTGTCTTCCTGTTGTGTGCGGTTGTAGTTGCCAGAGTGTGTGTGTTGTGATACCCTGCTGAGGATAGGCAGGCGGATATGAACACCAGCCCTGAGCCCAGTACCCAGGTTAGAGGGGCAGGTGAGGATGTAGCCCAGATGCTCATTCCACATGAACTCCCAACCTCTCTCCTGAATCAGATGCTCCACCTACAAGTTACAGAAAAAGGCCAATTATGTTTTGAACACATGAACAATATAGAAAAGAGGTATTAGATGAGCTTTTTTGATAACCTCCTCCAAGGAAGTTATCTTTTCACCTCTGACCTTCTGTGTGTAGGTTTGTTTGTTTTTGATCAGGATTATTAAAAAATTACCAAATGGATTGCCACAAAAATTGGTGGAAGGATGCAGTAGGGGTCAGGGAAGTTCCCATTAAATTCTGTTCTGTGGATTCGGATCCAGGAGTTCTTAATCACATTGTGAGATAATGCATTTTTTTTACATGACTAGCTAATTTCCCAGAGAATAATTCATTGATCTTGATGATGATATCAGGCATATTTCTATGCTATTTGGTTGGTGGAGGAAGGAACTCTACTGAGTGCCATTCCAGTTTGTTTATGTTTAAATTCTACTATATATTTACTTTTAGGGCTTTGTTTTAATAGACTTTTAGAGAGAAACACGGAGACATGCAGACCTGTTTCAGACCTCTGCAGAACCTCTCAAACACTCTCTTCATGTTCCCTCCCTTCTCCATGGATATGACCCGAGTGTGGTCCTCCTCATTGATCCAGATCAGGAAGTTCTTCTCATTGTTGTGCCTGACACAGATTAGCAGAAAGAACATTTTATATCCATGTTAATCAATTTACTGGTGCAGCGTGAAGATAAGAAAAGTTATGTTTCAATTAAGTTCAGTAGACTAAGAGCCTCCAATGTCAGGGTAGGAGGTTGTGAAGGCACAGATTTGGGACTGGAGGTCCAAAGAACAATACTTTATCAAATAATAATCCTGAGATTTGAGTTTTGGACATCAAGGAAGAAAAGAAGAATTAGAAGAATTTTGAATTTGTTGTGGCAACAGAAAAACAGTTTGAACAGTTTGAAGAAAATGGTTTTAGTTTGGTTCTAGAGGAGCTGCAAATGCAAAGTCTGGGATTCTAGCAGCGATCTAATAAGCACTACAGAAAATGTCATGTGTATCATAGAGTGAATGAAAAAACACAGTGATTCTAATCAAAATTCTACTATATATGATTCACTTTTCTCCAGTCATGTTGCTGTATTTTCAAATAATCAATGTGTACTTTCCTCTAAAAAAAAACTGGTGAATATCATCAAATAAAACTCTGGAGTCGTCTTATTTGTGTTTCTGATGTTGCCTCTATTCATCAGTATTCCCCACTGCACAAACCAACCACTGCACAAACCAACCACTGGTGACAGCTGTGAACGACAGCAAGAATAAACTATGCAGTGACTATAGCATTCAAAGGGTTTTCAAGCTAAAAAAATCATAAATATTTCTTTAGCCTAAGTTTCTCCGACAGTCTTACCAGATCCCACGAGCATCGGGCCAATCTCTGGCCATCCCAGCTGCCGTGAGCAGAGGTGACACGGGTTTATCAAACAGGAAGTGCTCCTGATTGACCAGTGAAGGAATAGAGGAACCGGCAGGGAGGTATTAGATGGCAAGGGCATTTCAAAGAAACTACAGAAACCTTTTCTCTGAGTGTGTGATTGTGCACAAACCTCAATAAGCTGTTGCTGCTCCCTGTCAGACATCTCTCCCAGGCTGTAGTAGCGACCGGCCAGGTCTCCCTTCAGGCCGGACAGAGCAGTCACAACCACACGCTCCACTTCACGACGCTCGGAGCGTGTGCACGCGGGCGGGAGACTCAGGCCACGGATGCTACGTCCAGTTCGGACACGAGATGACAACACGTAACGCTCATCGAACATCCCTGAAGTGATCTGAGAGGGAGAAAGAGTCAGGACAGGTCAGGTCAGGAGTAGATACAGGAATTAATGGATGAATGTAAAGGAGGAATGAGAAATTTGGGTGTAACCTTGGCAGCATCCAGGTCAGTGGGGTGCTTCATTGTACGAGAGTCATAGCCGTTGTGTCTGTCCTTGATGACAGGGTCAAAGAGCTCAGCAAACACCTGATTCAACAAAATATCTGTCAGATTGATGAATGTTGGGGCTAAATCAAATGCAAAAATCCACTGCAAACATGAACTCCAACCTCATAGCTCTCCTCATCTCCAGCCACCATGCCCACAGTCTTGATGAAGGGGTGTCCAGGGTTGTCGACCCCAGTCTGGATGCACTGGTCCAGGGTCCAGTTGTTAGGAGTTGTCTTGTCCCTCAGTCGAGCATAGATAGTCGGGGTCAGAGCTGCTGCCATGCAGTTGTTGTGCTTCCTCAGGTCAGGGAAATCAGCGCTGTAGAAAGTGATCGACACAATCAAACTTTGGTTGGAGCTTGGTTGAATTCAAAGCGACTGTTGAGCCTTGCTGGAAGTTTGTGTTAGACTCTATTTTGCAATCGTAACTAAGTGATTGGCTGCTTGACCATCTTTATTGATGGAAACCGAGATGGAAACATTGAATTGGCTGCACATGTGAAATATATAAACACGCTCTCTCTCTCACACACACACACACACACACCTGGGTGGATAGAGCCTCCTCCTCTCAGCAGCAGCAGCAGTGTTGTCACTGAGCAGGAATCCAGATGTTAGTGTGCCAGCTCCAATGCTGGCCAACAACACTGCCGTGTTACGACCAGACATCATACGGGTGAAAGAGTTTGCCATAGTCACGTGATTTTGGTTGTCACCTGAAGAAAGGGCAGAGGGCAGAGGTGACCTTCAATCATGTGATAGGGTCAATTTGATGTCAGATCACTAAAATCTGTTACTTTACTATTTGAGTGTGGTTATCTCTCATGGAAAGGTTCTGTTATTCAGTTTACTACTGCAAAGTGCAAGTGTTGCCACTGATGTGTGATCTCAGAGAGAGCTGTAAATCTCAGGATATTTGTTTTGACAGAGCCTGAATATCACAAATTACCTTTGGTCGGAATCGTTAACTGCATATTATAATTTTAAACGACAGTAATAAAAACCTTGACGCTTCCCAATTTTTGGATTGCAGACTTACATACAGACGTACACATTTTGAGTGAGCAGTGGGTATGACTTTTATATTTAAGTGACTGTTAACAGCACTGCAGCAATAAATACATTTTCATACATCTTCACAGACAAAACTATTAATTGCATTAAGTTAGCAAAAGCTTAAGTAACAGATACGCCTGCAGCCTATTGGATGAGATTATCCTGGAACCAGACGGAAGCCCTGTGATTGGTCCCCGTTGGGAGAACTAACAGCTCGGGTGATCAGATGATTTGTGCTTGGATACCCAGAGAGGTACTGTCATATTAGTATATGTGTCTGATAATGTCAATCATATATCAGAACTGATAATTACATCAGGGAACGATGGATCATTAATTTTACTTTACTCTGTTACATATGATTTGTAGGTACGTGTAGAAGAATATGCACCAGAAACTATTAATAACTATCAATCAAATTACAAATATTTATATTTTTGCACAATATTACTCATGATACAAGTGTACATCATGTAACACACACACAGGCACAGTATCAATCGTAGCAATTGGTGAGAGGAAGCTGAAGTTGCCAGATCTGAGTTGGCATCGACATAAGCACATGATCCTGTCTGACATCCTGTGCCAGTCACCTGAGCTCCCACAAGGAAAGAGGAGACAGAGAGTGGGCGGGAGGTGCGGAGGAGTCAAATTGTTACAGGAAAAGATGAGAGGGAGTGAGAGGAAGTTAGTGGAAACAGAGATCAAGAGAAGCTGTGGATTTAAGGGAGATTAAT